GGAGCCTCTGCCCAGACCCACAGTCCAGGGGCCTGACCCTGGCTGACCCAGGCGACGGAGAGGACTTGCCGGGCTCTGGCCCAGGCACTGCCTCAGTTTGCTTATGTCTACACATCACTGTGCTCTGCTGCAGCAGGGCAGCCAGGCGGTTCTAGAATTCTCTCTTATGAGGTCACAGAGACTGTCACAGAGGAAAGGGCGGGGACCTCAGAATCCAGAACCCCACCTTCGGGGCAGACTCTCACTCTGAGCATCGGTGACGATGAAGAAGCAGCAGTCCTTCTGTTCTCCTGGGGTCTCCAGGCCCCCCTCTCCCATCCCCTTTTCCCCTGCCTCTTCCTCCTCTCCTGTTCCCCTCCACCCCTGCCGTCGGCAGACCCCCGCTCTGGGCCCCCGTCCTGGCCCTCCTCCTGCTCCCCAACCTGGCCCAACCAGGTTCCCATCTCTCACCAACAGGTTCCCTCCTCTCTCGGGAGCCCGCAAGGCTGGCAAACCGCAGAGGGGCCCTAGGGTCCCCTGCTCCCCCTGCCCTGCCAACCCCCCATCTCCCCTTTCCATCCACCCTGTCCGCCTGGCCTCCCTCTCTTCCTTTGCCCCACACCCCCCTTCTGGTCCTTCTCTGGCCTCCAGCCACCTGGACAGATGGCTCCCCAGCCCCTCCCCTCCTGCCCAGTCCCCACTTCCCTCCATAGCCCGTCCTTCGGGCTACCCTGCCAGCTGTGCCAGGGGCCAGGAGTCCCTGCCATTGGGCACCCAGACCTTTGAGAGCTGGGTCCCTTCCAGGCGACAGGCCCCTTCTGCGCGCAGGGAGCAGAATGCGGTGGGCAGCAGCCACAGGTAATCCTGGGGGCCCCCGGCTGTCCAGGGAGCCCTGGCTCCACAGTGAGCTCTTAGCCATGTCGCCGGCGAGCCCGTGTCAACTGGTGGAGGATGGGCCACAGGCCAAAGAAAATGCAACAAGCTCCTGTGTGTCCACTCATGGGCCCTCCAGGCTCTCAGAGCCGCCATTAGAGGGGGTGGCTGGGCTGGGCGGACTCTGGGCACCTTTCCCTGCCAGCTGCTTCCCCTCCATGTGGCCACGCACAGTCCCTCACTCAGAAGGAGCGAGTGCCCTGTGCCTGGTAGAAAACGCACTCCCCAAACCAGCCTCCCTGGGAGACAGTGACTAGGGGTCCCTCTGGCAGAGCCAGGGCTGAGGGCGTGGCCGTGGGGGTGAGGAGGAGCCCTGCTGTGAGGCACTGGGGCCTGGAGGAGGGAGGGGCTGGGACCCCTCTGGGCAAAGTGCCCATTCACTGTGGTCCTCAGTGTGGCCGGCCCTCCACACAGCTGGTCAGGGCCTGTCCCACAGCCGCCCGCGGGGGGGGGAGGGGCAGAAGGAAGCACTGGGGGTGGGGTGGGGGGAGCTGTAGGGAGATGAGGGCTGTGTGGAGGGGCCTCCACTCTCCTTCCTGCCCCCTTGCAGGGCCCCGGGCACCCAGGGCTACTCCCGCTTCCCACCTGTGGCACAAGGGAAGAAAGGCCAGACTGGCCAGAAAAGGGGGGACCCACGTGTAAACCCCTCTGTCTGCCCGGCTGGGCAAGACAGCTTGAGACTGGAAGGCCGGAAACTGGAAGGCCGGAAGCCGGGAGCACGGCCCTCCCTTCTTCCCTTTCGAAAGGTGAGTCTGGGGGTGCTGACTGAGCGTGGGGAGGGGATCCCTGAAAACTCACCAGCCACCAGCTGCCTGCCCCTCCGAGGCACGCAGTCTGGCTGGCTTTCTGGACGCAGGCTGGGTGCTCAGCGTCCAGGATGGTGCTTTCTTTTGGCCCCTGTAGGCGTCCCAGTCTTGATAGCCGGCTGCCTGCAGGGTGCAGTCACGCTCTGAAGACACACCTGGGACTGCACCCCTTCCTCAGGATCCGCAGCCTCTGCCGGCCACAGGAGCCCAGCTCTCCTGCCGACGGCCTACACGCCTACACGTGAGTCACTCCTCAGTGAGTGCAGCCTGTCAGGGCCCCTGGCCTTCAGCTTCGCCTCCTGTGCCAGGAGCAGGCGTGGAAATGGGCAGTGTCAGGGTCCGTCCCCAGGACCTGTCCTCTCTCGTCCACCTGTCCACCCGCTCTGCCCCGAGGGCAGCCTCCGCTGGGCCTGGGCCAGGAACAGGCCAAGCGCCAAGTCCGAACCTGCCCGGAGGCTCCGTGTCCCAGCCCTGCAGGCAGGACTCCGGGCCTCGGACCCAGGGGGCAGCACGGCTCTCCTGTGGCTGCAGCCTATGCCGTCGGGTCAGGACCGGACAAGAACCAACGCCCTGACCCTGCGCTCAGAACAACGGCCTGTCCTGCCCGCCAGGCCACCTGTGACACTCTTCACCTGACTCATGGCCCCCAGGTCCTCCTGTCCATTCTCCACACACACGCCCATACATATGCACACCCAGGCACACACGTGCAGGTGCATGCACATGCACAGAGCAGCTCTCCAAATAGGGTAAGGGCTGCTTTCAGATCACGTACGGCTCTCTACCCCTAGCCCCTTCTTCTTCTTGATGGGGAAATGGGCACATGTGGGCCTGGCCACTGCCAGAGACCCACAGGCCCGTGTGCTTTGGGGTCAAGGAGCCCTCCGGCCTTCTGCTCAGTGGCCTAGAAGATACGGCTGTGATGACTGTGATGGAGCCAGTGCTACGAGGCCCAGACTGCGGCCTGGGGAGCCGAGCAGTCTGGAGGGTATGTTCCGTCTTTTCGGGACAACATAAGTGGACCGTGGACCGTGGACTGTGGACTGTGGACCGTGGGCCGCTCGTATGCACACCACCCTGGACCACACCCACCTTTCGGGGTTTGGAAATTTCTCTGGGAAGCATCTGGGGCTCCAAATAGCCCTGTTCCTGAGGCCCCTTCCTTCCGTCCATGACACGCGTCAGTGTGAGGACCACTAGCCAAAATGTAAAAAATTCAAGCATCTTGCTCTCCTTGGTCCATTTTCTCTATTCTGTTTGATGATCCACAGCATCTGTGCTGCATAGTTTACAGAGTTTGAGAAATTAGCAGTAACCTTCTCCGAGATGAGGCCTTTGCCGCGTGATTTTTTTCTGAATGAATCAGGGCAAGATGCTTTTCAATGGCTGACATTTTACCCAGAATCCATAGAATAGGTGGCTGTTAGCTATTATCAACTCTATTTTTAAGTAATGTTAAATCATAAGGCCCAAACTAAAATTAGGTTCATCTTTGTTTAAGGAAACCAATTAAAATTGTATTAAATTTGTGTTCAATTTGTTCACATGTGTTTTAAATTTTAATAAACTTGGGAGACGAAGACGAGGGAAGCATTTTTGGGCAAAGGAGATCTGCTCCCTGCAGACCAAGGGTCCCCACTCCTAACCCTCACATAGACGTGTAGGAGGAATCGTCATAGGCACTGGTTACTTGCCTGTAGCCTCCAGCCCGACCACAATAAGCCCATGGTCCTCCAACACGTATTCTATGTGTGTTTTGTTATAACCATCCTGGTGTTGCAAGTGGTCAAAGTAGACACTTTGGGACACAAGCTTGAGGGGGCCCCTCATAGGCTCTAATGTTGCCCTTTGGTCTCATGAGGCTACTGAAAGCTTCCATTTTCCTGTCAAATAGTCTGTGCTATCTTTTTAAAAAATATATTTTTATTGATTTCAGAGAGGAAGGGAGAAGGAGAGAGAGATAGAAACATCAATGATGGAGAGAACCATTGATAGGCTGCCTCCTGCACACCCCACCCTGGGGATTGAGCCCACAACCTGGACATATGCCCTGACTGGGAATCGAACCGTGACCTCCGGGTTCATAGGTTGATGCTCAACCACTGAGCCACGCCTGCCAGGCGAGTCTTTGCTATCTTTACATTAAGTTGGTGATCCAGGGACTCAGCTATAGGAGGGGAATCCTGGTATATACTAACCATGATGTGAGCTGAATGTTTGCCCAAAAAAAATCCTCAAAGAAACCAACTTTGCCAGCACATAGACAAACTCACAATGTGTTGTGGGAGGGAGTGCAGAAAAGCAGAGAGGATATTGACTTGGGGAAGGGTGTGAAATGTTTAGAGACAGGCGGGCTTTAGGACTTCTTCACACCTACAATATGTTTGTGGTGAAGGTACACTGAGGCGTCCAGTCCTGAGAAAACCACATGAGTGGGGGGAGTAGCCCTTCTCCCAGCCTGCCCCCCCCC